GACATACCATCGTGAGTCGTGACATGGGACTGTGGAGGCGGCGCGTGCATGGTGCCGTGTTTTCCGCGGGTCAAGCTTTTCTTGCGTCGGGATCTTTGCGTCAAGCTTGTGAAGCTATGGAGTCGCGATCGCTGTGATTGAAAATTTCAAGGGCAAAGTTGTTACTTGAATGCTCAAAGAATGAATTGGGGTATCGAATTTGCTATTGTGGAAATATACATGTGGGTCAATGTTCGCTTTACGTGTGGGTAGCGAGACAGGAGACGGCTCATTCATCTTTTCCGCCTCTTGTGTAATCTTGATTTTGATGGGTCTTAGCGACTGGCCATGCTGGCTCTCCTAGCCTCGAGCACAGCATCCTCGTGAGTGGGAGGTCCCTCGTAGTTCTTCTTTCCCCAGACGAAGTACCAGATGGTTGAGATAACGACAACGGCGGCAAGGACAACGGAAGCGTAGTTCATCGACGCAGGGGTGACTTCGCGGAATGTGGGCATGCAGAAGAGAGGAGTTGCAAGCGCGGACCAGGCTGTTTTGATGTTAGTGACTGCGCTGTGACGGTGAAAGGGGATGTAACATACCAAGTGCAACGATGTTGCAGAACGTGCCGAGCATGCCGAGATGGAACGCGCCATCCTTGACCTGCTTACGGCCAGTCATGAGCGAGACAAAGATAGGTGCAGCGTAGCTCAATGTCAAGCAAATGACACCAACACCGGAGAAGGCGTTGAAAGCGGCGGCAGCACCGAAGTAGATGAGACCGAGAGCGAGCTGGACCACCATGCTGAGCATCATGGCGTTGAGTGGGACATCGAGGTTCGTGTTGACGACCCTCCACAACTTGTAGCCGGGAATGGCACCATCACGAGAGAAAGCCCAAGTAGCACGGGAAGCGGCAGTCGTGCATCCGATACCGCAAAGCAGACCGAGAACGAGAAGGGGGACAAGAAGTCCGATGGCACCAGCGGAGGATCCTACGGCTTCCTTGATGATGACGGGTGTGGGCTGGCCGGACAGAAGGCCTGCGAGCATGGCTTGGTCGGGCAGGACGAAGACGAGCGGGATGAGGAAGACAAGGCCAGCAATGGTGTTCAATGCAACGGTCGCAACCATAGCCTTGGGGACCTGAGTGGCAGGTTCGCGAACTTCTTCGCACATGCTATGAATGTGTTAGCGTTTGGACAATTATTATAAAGAATTACCGCATGTAGACACGTCAAATGTCGCGATGGAGAGTGTTGCTTGGGATGTCGCTTAGGAAATGTCGCATGGGATGGTCGCTTGGGAAGTGCATTGGGCAAGGAAAATCTGCTGCAAGTTGCTTGGGCAGAGTAGGGGAGGCTCACGAGATGATCATTCCGGTCGATGAAGTCGCGTAGGCTGCGTGCAGTAATCCGACCATGAAAGACCATCCTGGGATCCATCCAGAGTTGGAGGGGTCGAATTCAGTAAAGACGTATTCGGCGCTGTGGCGACCATTTTTCGCAATGGCAAGGATGCAGACGATAATGGCAATCACACCAGCAAAGGTCCAGAAAATGGCAAAAGTCTAGATATCTGTAAGTAACACATCCGGTAGCCGTTGGGGGGGAATCTCACATCCAACCATGGTAGGTATTTGTTTCCAAAGGCAGACACAGCGTTGCAAAGGAGTGTGATGCCAAGGAAGATGAGGAAGACCTGGTAGGGTGATCCTTCCATGATACCAACACCAGGTTCGCTTTCGTAGACATTGACGCATGCCACAAGGAACAGCGCGGTAGCAAAGTTGACGGATAGAGTAATGGTAATGTTGCCAACTACGAAACACCAGCCACAGATCCACGAAGCGATTTTCCGATAGGCGGGCGGCGTGATCATGAAGGTCTGGTAGTAGACACCACCACTGGTCGGGTAGACACTGGTGATCTCACCAAGGGATGCGGCGACTGCGAGAATGATAAGCGATACGGCGAGCCATCCCCAGATGATGTTGGTGGGACCTCCACCAACTACCGGGTAGTAGAGGGTTGTTGCCAAGCCGTAAGGGACGGAAGCCAGGACAAAGGACATGAAGGCCACTTGGAGAGTGGATCTTGAACGAATCAGTTCCGACTTGTAGCCCATGGCAGCCAGAAGGTTGTCGGCATCAGCGGGAACGACATCGTCTCCGGATCCCGAGTAGGTGTTGCCCAGCTTGGTCTCTTTCTCGGGCGCACCGTTGCGCAGAGAGTGGTCGTGCTCAGCGGCATACGCATCGGACTGCGTGCCGTACCTGTAGTCGGACATGAGGGGCGTGTCGCTTTGGTCCTGGGTCTGGGGGCCTGAGAGAGAAGGAGAGTTGGGGAGTTGTCGCAAAGCAAAGCTCTGGGACATGTCCCCAGCGGCGGATCAGCGCAGGCTTTGAAGGGCTGCAGAGGCACGTCAGTCGGCGCATGGTCCAGGCCCGCTAGCCAGCATGTAGACAAGTCGCCTTAGACTACCCACCCGAATTTCAGATGGCAACAGACGCGGAGCTTGGCGGGCCAATTGCTGGTGGAGGGTGGCCGGATAGGGCTGTTTTACTGCGCCGAGAAAATCACCGACTGAGTGGGAACTACAGTCTAATGCATCCGCGTTCCGTCGCCTAGGTGTTGAGGTTTTTTCTAGAAGTGGGCCAGAAGCTGAGCCGCTGCGTACCGACGAGCAGCCGGCGATGGAGGGACCCTGACGTGGTCTTTGGAGGTGCGCACGTTGCTGAGCCTCACTCGGCTGTTGCAGAGTTTGCAGGGCAATCGCAGTGAACGCGTGGGGTGATGTTACTTCCATTGCCAGTTGATGGCTTGCGCACCAATGGGGGTCGCCGATGGCTTCAGGCTTTGAGATTGGCGTCGTAGCGGGCGTCCATCTCGGCACACGATCCGTATTCGTGGGTAGAGTCCGGGGCACTGGTCGCGTGTGCATAACGCGCTGAAAAACACATGGGAGGCGTTTGCGGAGCAAGCCCGGATATCGAGATAGGGGTGAAGGGAGATGTCAGTGTCGGCATGCCAGAGTGGAGTCGGCATTTGATGCTACACCTGCCCAGCGCCTTCCCCTCGCTCCTTCGCTCCTTCCGTTGACAACGCGCCCTAACATGTCGCATGCGGCAGTAGCGGACCCAACTTGGCATGACGAGGCGTTCCATTGCCAGCATAAAATGGCGATAATGGGCGTTTGTAGCAGCGCCAGCCTTGCGCCGAATGCTGTGTAACTGTGTCGCCATGCATCACGAGATTGTAGCTCTTGAGGAGCATCAGCAGCCCCTCCCCATCCATGGATTCAGCTTCCCAGCCTCCACAACCCACAACCTGACAGCGTACAAGACTACCTCGACTCGTGAAGAGCTCCACTCGCGCATCCACGATGCAACGATAATCATTACTACCACCATTAAGCTTGATGCCGAAACATTGCGCCCCAGTGTTACTCCGAATCTCCGCTATATTGCCATATCCGCGACCGGAACAGACCCTGTGGACCTGGACGCCTGCCGGGCTCGCAACATTCGCGTTACAAACTGCCCGGGGGCCAACCTCGACGCGGTTTCGGAACATGCCATAAGTCTATACTTCGCATCCAGAAGGCGCACCGCCTTGCTGGATCGCATTACTCGTGCGCAGCCCAGCGAATGGAAGACGGCGGGTAGCGTGAAGGATTACATGCGCCTGCCGGACGGCATGCCTCCGATGACCTGCAAAGATGAGGTTATGGGTGTTATCGGCTATGGGGGCATCGGTAGGTCTTCATATCCTAATCAGGATGAGAAGTCCTGAGCTGACACGGGGTGATAGGCAAGCGAATAGCTGCGCTAGGGCAAGCATTGGGCATGCGCGTACTTATCGCGAGTCGAAAGACACCATCGACGCCTCCCGTAGACACCGGGCTCCCAGCCCCTGACGTCTCTGACGACCGCATACCCTTTGACGATGTGCTCCGCAACTCCACCGTCCTCGTCCTAGCTCTACCGCGGACCCCCGAGACGCTCAACCTCATCTCTACGCCCGAGCTCGAGAAGATGCATCCGTATACCGTCATAATCAATGTCGCGAGAGGCGGCATAGTACACGAGGCTGCTGTAGTGCAAGCCTTGAAGCAGAGGCGCATAGCTGGCTATGCGACTGACGTATACCAGGTGGAACCACTCGGTGGGCCTGCCGATACTCCGCTGCTGGAGGAAGACGTAAAGGACCTCAACATTACCTTGAGTCCGCATGTGGCATGGTTTTCGACCACGTCGATCAAGAACCTTGGTGAGATATTGAAGGCGACTGTAGAGGGCATGGTCAGCGGCAACGAGATCAATGCCATTCTATAAAAGGAAAAGAACGCAAATGGACGAACCACCAACTGGGCACGAATACCCTCGTAGGATACCTCCACCATTGACATTTGACGTTCAAGATACAGTGAGAGTTGGTTGCACACACGGCTAACACTGGTTATGTCCACATCAAAGGATCTTGCACTTCTGCTGAAATCCTCACAGCTCAGCCCTGGAGATACGTTCCTGGACCATACCACGTGAGCGTATATCCGTATAAGGCAGGTCATGTTTAGTCAACCCCCCAAAACAACGTAAGTTGATCAAGTGCAGCGCGCTCTTCGTAGATATTCTTTTCACTTTCACTTTCACCTCAAGACGTGCGTTTTCACTGCGCGTGGTTCTTTCGCGTTTCGTTTGACGTGCTCCGCTCCACATGCGTTCCAATGGATGCCATTTCGCTACCGTTCTTTTCATACTGGGCGCCCACTCAGAGCATGCCCAACGGTCGAAAAAGTCTTCAAAACTGGTACGAGCGTCTCCTGTCACCGCTCGTTGTGCAACAGGCGGAGTCTGTCAGGCCTTGGCACTGCAACCGTCCCCTTCGTATGAGACCCTTCGTATGAGAGCGACCTCCCGCACACCCTCCTTCGACTACCCAGGCACGCAACAATCCTGACCAATGCCCCCTACTTGTGGTTGATTTCAGTCTACGCTAACGGCGTGGCTCTCGTTGCGCGACATGGCTTCGTCGGGCGAGCGCCTTCGCGACTGGTCCTTCGAAGGTTTCTACACCAATCAAGATGACCACTGGAGCAGCCATTACCTTTTCCCCAAGATTGGCAAGGAAGCCAGCGAAGTGTTCGTCCAATACCTTGAGGGTCGGGGCATAACGACGCCTACGCTAGACGATAGCGTCGAGCAATATCTCAAGCTCCAAACGGCGCTCTGGAAGAAGTCCTCTCGCGTCGCAAAGCCAGGCCATCAGTCTTTGAGGTTTATGAGCGCTGCCCAAACCTATCGCTGGAGCTATGATCAGGTTCTCGCTGAGCATGCAGGGCATGTCATACAGGCCCTCGAAGGTAGAGGATCTGGAACACGATATCAAACAACAGGCGATGTCGTCTTCATTTTCAATGAGAATTCCAAGAAACCCTGCGGTAACCCCTCCTGCCCAGATACAAAGAAAAGGGCCACTGGACAGATTCAACCCTCTCGTGTCGTCACTCTCGAGCCGCTGCTTGACTGGGGAACTGTTGAGCCGGCCTCAGACATCATCGTAGCTGCCGGCAGGATCTTTCCATTTCGCCGCAACGGACCAAGGATGAAGGATCCATTGTGGACACAGGTGGCTAGGAAGCTAGTGCCTCAGCAGCCGCCCACCTACTGTCTGGGCTGCATCGAAGAGCTTGTTGATAGACATGCGGAAGTGCGTCTCGTCGAACATCCTATACATGTATGTCACGACCGATATCCCAACACCATGACGACCTTGTCGCATAAATATTGGAAGTTGATTGAAACACATTCACTGACTTTGTCTAGAAGGTGCTCGCCAGTCAACCTCAAGGAGCTAGACACTTCCATTCCCTAATCCGGCCTATTCGGCGTCCTACATCGAAGGAAGATTTGTACGATCTGAGGGAGGGTAGCGACTCGGAAGACGATCGGAGCGTGGAAGGGCTGGCCTGTTCAACCACCGGCTCGCTATATCTGGATGGCGCCACAGACGAAACTCCACATACAGAGCCTGTTGACTACACGTCCTACCACAGTCTTGGAATATTCCCTACGCTCAAGGATCGCGAGTCCTCATGGACAAGTGCGTACAATGTCCTCTTCGTTGGGGACAAAAGGAGCGCTGGTGAACCGATTTCTCCACAGTGCTCTCCACGCTCTTTCACAACTCCGTTGGATTCATCTAGTCTCAACCGCGTCTACTCCCCACTTCTGTCTTTGAGCCTTCATTACAACACTCCGCCGCCGACTCCAGGTAAGCCAAAGACCCGCATTTACGTCCACCGAGATCCAGAGTCTGTACAACACGCCGAATACGAAAAGTTCGGCAGCAAGGCCCTGTTGACAGACAGTGTCCCGGATTTTGGCAGTGGTAGTCGCAGGTTCGGTCGCGATATCGATACTAACGCCGTCCGCGGTTTCTTCACCAATCACCGTGTACGACGAGAGAGCATGGCTAGAGCGAAGGGCACCGACATCCGCAACTTCTTCACGGTAATAAATCCCGAGGGTCCCTCGACACCTCAACGCGCGGTCAAGACCAAAAACGTCGATGGTGACGATACGGACTTGAGCGATGTACCATCCGACATATCAGAACAGGAATATGACCCAGATGGGCCGGGCGGCGAGTATACACCCGTGAAGAAGAAGGGCAAACCATCGTCGAACAAGAAAACGCCAAGCCCCCCGTCGAAGCCCGCAGGCAAGAAACAATCACCGCATGCGCCTATGTACCGTAAACGCGACCCAGCCGCCAACAATACCGTCCCATTCGGCATCACCAAAGAGGCTTTTGAAACCCACCTCCAGCATCTTCCCGCCAAAACCGACCTAATCTGCTCCTGCCGCAAACCAGCTCGCACCAACGAAGTCCAAATCACGCAATGTATGAACAAGGACTGCAGAGTGCGCTGGTACCACAAGGACTGCCTTGATAGGGTTGGCAAGCTGAAAGCTAGGCATGGGACCTACTTTTGCGAGCAGTGCCAGAACGAGAAGTACTATGCAGATCTATCTCAGGCCAACGGATGGAGTACGAAGAAGTTGGTGCAGAATGAGATTGGAATGCCGTTTACGGGACAAGAGGTAGCGGGCACGTTTGGTAATACCGGGGACTTCCAGGCTGCTGCGAATTCATATGGTCTTGCAACGTCGAGTCCTACCAACATGCTCTCTGCGTTGGCTGATCCTTTCACTCCAACGAGTGCAGTGGGGCTGAGTCGTCTTGCTGTGGGCTCTGAGCCTTCTCTTGGTCTGGCGACGTCGCGCCCGTACTTTGTCAACAAGGCTTATACCCAAGGACAAGAGAATGCGCGCATTGCCGACGAGGACTATGAGCATGCGCAGAAGTATGGCTTTTACCCTGAGCGATGGGATGAAGAGGGCGATGATGGTGACGACGAACTCGAGGACGAAGATGAAGATGGAGATGCGGATATGAGTGAGGCATTGTAGGAGAGCCTCATGGAGATGGTTGGATACACGGGCCAAATCTACGATACGGATCGCTGTTTCCGAGTTGTACCTGATACTTGAACTCCACGCTGAAGACATGCGTCCAGGTATACTGTATCAGTAATAATAATGAGGAAAAGAACTAGTTCAATTCTCTGCGTGATGCTGATTCGAATGTTATGAGATGTTGAATGTCAAGCGCGCTCGGACGAAATGCGGCGGAGCTGCGAATGGCGTCATGCATGCCACGCGACGATGACGCGACACCAATCGGCCGTTCCCGCTCGAGCCGCAAAGCTCGGAAGTGCGGAATGTGATGTTTCCGATGATCGATGTATAGACTCAGTACGTATTCGCTGCCTTTATCAAGCTCTCTGATTGCTCACCGTTCGCCGTGCTGACAACTCCTCGAAGTCGCGTGCCGTACTGACCTATCATGACCAACTCACAAAAGCGCATCGGCCTCATTGGCTTGTCCGCCAAAGGGTACATTCGCACAATTCCTAAGAAAATGGGCATTGTCAATTGACACAACATCAGATCCTGGGCATCACGCTCCCACCTTCCGTACCTCCAACGCACTCCACGCTATGCGATCACTGCGCTTCAAAACAGCTCTCTCGCTTCAGCCCAGGCTTCCGCCAAACAGTACTCTCTAGACTCTGTATCCACGCACGACTCTCCCAGCTCAGTCGCCCAAGACCCTAACGTAGACATCATTGCTGTTAGCGTCAATGTACCCGAGCACTATAAGTTAATCCGCCCGGCTCTGGAAGCGGGAAAAGATGTTTTCTGCGAGTGGCCTTTGGCTCGCAATGAGAAAGAAGCAGAGGAATTGACAGCGTTGGCTAAAGAGAAGGGTGTCAGGACTATGGTGGGCTTACAGGCACGCCAGAACCCATCGATCTTGAAAGCGAAAGAGATTGTTGACTCGGGGAAGCTGGGAAAGATTTTGGGGACGACAATGTTCGGCCATGTAAGTTCTCTAGCTTATTTTTCCGAAACTGAACAGAAACCACGCGATATATGCGGTATGAAAGTTTGCTAACGCAGAAACCAACAGGGCATGATATTCGGCGGCATAACCATGCCCTCTTACTCATACATGCACCCAATTGAGAACGGCGCGAACCTTCTCACTATCCCCTTCGGTCACGCCGTAGACGCTCTCTGCTACGTCTTCTCGAGCGAATTGCGATCAGTCTCCGCTGTGCTGTCAAATAGATACCCAGAGCTTCAGCTCGTGGACGAGAACTACCAACCTCTCGGAGAAAAGAAGTCCAAAACCTCTCACGACTTCGTCTCCATGACTGCAGAGCTCATCAACGGCGGCGGAAACGTCGACGTGACCTATGCGCCAGGTCTGTCACGCACTGGACGGGACTTTTACTGGGAGATCATCGGATCCGAGGGTACGCTTGTACTTGAAGGACCGAAAATGGGTGGGCATGTGCAGATGTTCCAGCCTACCGTCAAGATCGCGCTAGGCCAAGAGGAGTTGAAAGAAGTTGAGGTAGAGAAGGCTGAGGACTTTTCGTTCAACGTGGGAAGGGCTTGGGATGCGTGGGCTGGAGAGGGCAAGGGCAGTGTTACGACTTGGGAGGATGCTGTTGTCAGGCACAAGATGATTGAGGCGATTTATAGGAGTGCGGAGAAGGGAACAAAGGAGAACTATGTGTGAGCGGTCAGACAAGAGGGACATCTATAGGTATGTGCGAGAAGACCGGAATAAGAAGTTGATAAAATCGGGATGAACAGATGGAGTTTAGCGTGAAAATCCTCGGCTACACCCCGGCTCGACGTCTTCGTCGCATCTTCTCCATCACCGTCATCTCACCATCACCAATTCCTTCGCACTCATAAGAAGAGCCTCAATCGCCATGTACAACAATCCCCATCCCAAACAATGCACGATCTTAGATCCCCAGACCCACCAGACCAGACCGATGGCCCGCCAAGCCAACGCTTGCCTCGCTTCCACTTTTTGTTACGTTATAGTTAACAAGGCCGCACGAGCGATCCTCTGAACTTAGTCAGGCATGTTATGAACCGTGATGTCAGCGGGAGTCAGGTTTTTGCTTGCACCTGCCATGGTGACCGCCGAGCAAGATGGGGCAAGCTTGTTGTTGGTCTCCTCCATACTCCACTCAACTACCAAGCTCTCCAGACAACGTCGGTTTCTTGGGTTTGGTACTTGTGAAAGCTTGTGTTCTGAGAAGGTCTTTTTCGGCTCATGCGCAATTCTGAGCTCTGGGGTCATTGTGAAAAGAACCATAGGAAGTTTCTCGGGCAAAAGGCGCGTGCCGCTGCGGATAGCTGCGTCTTCCCGTCAGGTTACATGAGTCGCAATCGAGCTACAACAGCATATTACGTGTGATTGGACTGGGAAGGTGTGTGAAGGTGTGTGTAAGCATTGGGTGACTGCTGCTTAGTCGCACCCTCGCCTCCAACAACCCGACTTATAAGCCAGACCCGGCAACGCTAAGTCCGTCTTAGCCTTGGCCTCTCCTCCATCATGGCTTCTCCAACACCGACTTCGACATCTTCGACAAGTCTAAGCTCGCAGACGACAGAGGAAAAGCGAGATCATCGACCGGACCAGGTTATATCAGGAGCATCTACACCGCCGCCCATCTCGAAGGCCGATCCTACATTCATCACCTGGACCTCACCAACGGACCCATCCAACCCCTTCAATTTCTCTCCGTCGAAGAAATGGCGGACTACCATTCTAGCCTGCACCATGACCTTCGTCGTCCAGGTCTCAGGAACGATGCTCACATCTGCCGCCGAGCAAATCAATACCAGCTTCAATGTCAGCGATGAAGCATTCCCGCATTCGTACTGGCCGGTGTTAAGCTGGAACCTAGGAGGCGCCGCAGCACCACTACTAGGACTACCTCTAATGGAGAACTTTGGTGTGCGGTGGAGTTATATGGCCATCTACGCGGTATTGATCATCTTCATCATTCCGCAAGCTTTGGCCAAGAACTTCGCGACGTTGATCATAACGAGGATTATTACTGGGTCCTGCTCGGGCGTACTTGCGAATATCACGTCGGGGATTGTAAGCGATCTCTGGAGGGATGGGAGGGCGAAGAGTTTCGGGACGTCGCTTTACATCTTCGCACTGCTTGCGGGGCTTAGTATGGGGCCTGTTTTTGGTAGTTTGGTTGTAAAGTATACGACTTGGCGATGGTAAGATATGCTTTAGTTGCTGCGCGGGACTCTGGCTAATCTGGATGTAGGATCTTCTTGAGTCAAATCATCTTCTACAGCGCTCTTATGCCGGTGCTGTTCTTTCTCCTTCCCGAAGTTCGACCGGATGTTATCCTCACCCAGCGTGCACGTGATATTCGCGCGAAGACAGGGAAAGAGGTGTATGCTCAGGCCGAGAAAGAGCACACAAGTTTTGGCGAAATTCTCAAAGAGACGCTCGTTCGACCAACGCGTATGCTGTGTACCGAAGGTGTAGTCCTTTCCTTTGGACTGTGGAGCGCGTTCTGTATCGGCACAGCCTTCATGTTTACGCAATCCATCGTGCAGGTCTTCTCAGAGCTGTACGGCTGGACATTCTTCGGCACAGGCCTTGTGCAATCGGCCGTCGTAATCGGGGAGCTCATCGGCCTTATCGCATCTCTAGTTCAAGATCGCATCTACTTCGTATCCGCGCGACGCAACACCGAAACTCCAGGGCAGCCGATCCCAGAAGCGCGACTCTATCTCAGCATCCCAGCCTCGTTCATCGGTCTGAGCGGTGGACTGTTCTACTTCGCATGGACGTCCTACTCTTCCATCCCGTGGATTGTACCCAGTATATCGCTCGCTTTCGTGGGCTTCGGTATGTTCTGCAGTACAGCGGGGGTAACGACGTATGTGGTTGATGCGTACGCGAAGTATGCTGCGAGTGCTATCGCGGGCATTGCTTTTCTGGAGAACTTTATGGCGGCGTTCTTGCCGCTTGCGACGCAGAGCATGTATCGTACACTGGGCTTCAACTGGGCGAGTAGTTTATTGGGCTTTATCGCGTTGGTATTGAGTTTCATTCCTTTGATTTTGTTGAAGTTTGGGAAGAGCATACGTGGGAAGAGTCCGTTTATGAGTGAAGCAGGGTATGAAGACTGAGTACGCTCAAACTTTTAGTAGATGGGAAAGGAGAACACACAACACAAGACATATCTTTGCATAATGAATATGCTCATGTGAAACGTGTGAATAGAAGTGCATAAATGCCTTGGTTATGAGATATGATAGAGTGACGTAAAGCAAAAGCCCACATACAGAGGACAATTGGCGTACCAGATGGACCAGATGAGACACGTTCACTTCATCGCTGGAGCCAGCGCAATCGCAGAGAACCTCAGATCTCCCCCTTTCTCAGACTCAATCCTCATCAAACGACCAATACCCTTCTCCAACGCAGCCGGACTAAGCACATCCTCGTCCTCCTCCAACACACCCCGATCAAGCGGACCCATGCGACCACCTTCAAGTTCCCACAGGTGCCCATCTTTCGCCTTGACGAAAGCCACAAAATGCTGGCCGGTATGCGCCTCCTCGATCTCTGCAGGCGCGGCAGAATCTCCTAATTTCACGACGTCTGCGTGAGCCTTCTCGAACGCGTCGGAGTCTTCGAGTACTCTCGCGCGCTCCCAGATGGGCTTTGGTAGCGCGTCTTCGCGGATCTGGGCTAGGGTTGAAGAGGGCTGGATGTGCTGTGCAGCGTCGCTGTTGAGCAGACAGTGCACTAGACCTATGCTACCGCACGCGTTTCCTATGGTCTGCTTGAACCATATGACTGGTTCGGCGTCGCCTTTACCCTCGTACTCGGTCTTGTCTTTGTCTTCTGTTGTTCGGGCCTCGTCCCAGGTTGGTGTCAGAGGAATGATGACAAGTAGTGCTACCGCTGGTCGCGGGATGAAGCTCAGCATGTCGGAGTCAGTGAGTGAGTAGATGTCGTAGAAAGAGAGCGCTGTCGTGTCCAGACCGAGGTCTTGAGCCAGGTGGTTCATGACCTCTGGGTTGTTCTCGAGGACGTTCCACATCTTCTTCGGCATCTTCTGCGGAATCTCTTGAGACATTTTGAAGGTAGTTGTGGTTGTTCAGAGACGCTGGGGGATGGATGAGTTGAGCTGGGTGGTGTTTAGTAGACTTCAGGTGTGGAAAGGTTAGTTTTGATGAATATGCTGCTTCTCAGGCAGCGATCAGACGCGTCACAACGACAGTCAGTGACAGGCAGCCATGCAGGTACGCTGCAGGTAGATGGAAGGGCGTACAGGGCGGACAGAGGTGGGGAAGGATCAGGTCCGCCGAAACGGGTAAGGCTCAGCGCCTAGCTCAGGGTTAGCGCGGGGCATGCCCAGGGATTCCCCGCGGCGGCCCGTAGCATCTCATCAGAGTCCAGACGATGTATCATCTTATGAACTTTACGTATGAGAGTACCGCACTGTGATACGTGCTGTCTTTCCATTGTCGAACGATGTTCTTCCGCAGTTATCCATTGGCGCGGACCTCCGAGCAACCTGTAGGGTATACATGTTGCCCTTGTCGCATCCGCCGGCTCTCCGCAGTAGTGAAGTCCAGCGCTTACATTTGAGCCTCTTCATCCACCACACTTATTTATATGATTAACCTAGAGTCTCTCGGCGTATCTCAGATTGCCTTTACCTAACAAGCCAGCGAACAAGACACTCAACTCTACCTCACCACTCCAGATTCCCACTTGTGAGCTCACCATGGATGACGAAGCCCGACAAGCAATGGCAAGCATGAAGATGCCACGCCGCCCCATAAACTTCGTTTCCGCAAAGCAAGGCGAAATCCTCAAATTGGGCCAAATCACTTGCAGAGTCATGGAAGATGGATCGCGAACCGACAATCGCATAGGCTCTGCAGAGTTCACACTGCCTCCCAACACACCTGGACCACCAGCACACTGGCATGAGATGCACGACGAGACATTCCTCGTTACAAAGGGAATGGTTCGGGTACGTCTCTGACTTTCCATTCCTTCCATCCTGATTAAGCAGACAAGACAGCTAACCGTCCCCCCAGTTTCACGCACCCGACGGCGCCATTCAAGATGCGTATGTCGGCGACTACGTTACCGTACCCATCCGCGCACCCCACACCTTCTCGAACCCTACAAACGAAGAATCCAAGTTCTTCAACACGTATACCCCCGCGTTTTACATCGATTACTTCAAGACCCTGGCTGAGATAAGTAAGACGGATGAGAAGATGATGAAGGAGAAGAACATTGAGGTTATGGGTCGGTATGCGACACTGCCTGCGAAGGAGATGATGGAGGAGCAGAAGAAGAAGTAAAGGCCGAGAACAACTTCTCTGGAATGATATAAGAATAGTGCTAGGAATACAATCGTGCGCATGCGATACGCAGGAGAGAGGCTACAAACAAACGCCAGAGTTATCAATACAATGAAGAAACTTCCGCCCAAACACCGCCAGGGCCAGCCCAGCACAACAGCTCAAATCACAGTCGTATCCCCCTCCTCATCCACTCTACAGATACTGCACTCCTGATACAACTTTGCGCAGAACTCCCTCACCGTCATGTCAGCACCCATATCCGTCCCAATAAGATGGTTCTTCATGCAGTACCACACCCACTGTCCACTACTCGCCTCATCTCTCCTCAAGTAGTTCTCGCCCGGGCTCCACGTATCCAAACTGAATGTTATGCCAGTGAGCTGCGGCCCCCGAGGTATAGTGTCAGAGTACTCTGTGCCGAGCATCTTGAGTGATTGGGAAGCATGGTACCAGATCCAAAGCGGGTTCCAGAGGGGATCACCGAGCGCTTTGGCGTCGAGAGTAAAGGTCTTGACGTTGGACATGTGTTTGAGTTGCTCGCGCATGCGGCGGCCGAGCGTCCAGGATGAGGATGTCATGGAGCGGGGGTCTGTGACGCCGAGCATGGAGGATGTTGTGACGAGCTTGAGGGAGCAGTTTTGCACTTTGGAGAGCAGGTCGGGGGAGATGTTCCATACTCGGTTGTCCTGTGTTGATGGCGCTGGGAATGCAGATGGAGGGGTGCTTGTGGCGGGCTTGTATGTCTGGGGCGTGACGCTGAAGTGGAACGTCTTGCGCTTGCAGATCATGTCCATGTATTCCGAGTACACTTGCTTGTTCGCTAGGAATATCCATTTACTCTCGTGTCGCACAGGCGATGATGTGGATGTGGATGTCCAGCGCGCGGGTCGCATCCAGTTCAGCGTTGAGCGCTGGACCTCGTTGCGCGCTGGTGGCGGGTAGATAGGGTCGTCAAGGAAATGCTCGTACACCATATCCCTCAGCTCTTGTGGTAGGTCCAGGAACCGGAACGGCTTCTTATTCTGGTATTGCATCTTGCGGTACTCTCTGAAAGCGACGAAGCATAGTAAGGGAAGTAACAATGCGAGGAGGGTTATCCAACCCTTAAGCTCAACGCCAGCGATATTGTATTTTGCAAGCCATGGCTGCCAGCGCGACAGCTCGCTCGTCTTTATCGATGTGGATGGCATGACGATGCTCATGGTAAAGTGTGGGGTGCCGTGTAATTGAGCGTGCCTAGCACGCTAGCGGAATACGTGCGATGCGAGGAACACGATGGTGCCAGGGGCGCTGTCCAGCTTCCCTCACACAACGGAAACAGCGCGGGACTATGGATATCGCGCGATGCTGAAACAATAGTCCTGCCTTCGTATACGGCACTATCCAATCGCCGAAGCGTTCTGATCGGTCAGACGACAACTCCGAAGGGTGCCGCGTTGTTTGGCCGCTCGCACAAAGGGATCGTGCGCACACGCGTGATGCAAGACTGCGCGATGAGTCGAAATGAGTTGAGGGGTGGAGGTGCAAACAAGGGAGGTTGCGGAGGAACGCGCGAGGGGGAGATTCGCAGCTGAGTAAGATAATCAATACTGATGCCTTGCGGATACGACTGATGAGGCAACCTGAAACGGGGTCGCCTTGCGCCGCAGCTGCTAACAACGACATCGCCACGTTGACACCATCGTCAGGCGGCACCGCGTCAGACATCCATCATCTCCGTACCTGACGCAAGTGTTCGATCATAGGTCGCGCATATCAACGACGAGAACAGGAAAGGCACTTATTCGAATACGCGCACGATGGGCTTTGTGTGTGTAGAATCTCGTTATTCTGTTAATGCCTGGCTCAATGCACCTTGGAGGAAGGTGTATGCTACATAACACGATGCAAGTCGTTCGACTAGACTTCCAGCGAGTACTTCTTAGGTGTCCCTTAGTGCCATCTAGAAAGATGGCTATGCCCGACGCTCAATTGGCGACTGAACGCCGGCACGCACCCTACTGTCGATCACTCCTTCTTTATCACCACTGTCACACCGATAGTCTCGAGAAAGCGAACTTCTGCAGACTGCTCGAGACGCTTCTTGAATTCCACACCATCGCCATATCCGACCGAACACACAACCTCAACTCGTTCCAGGTCTGGAAAGTCGGTCTTCGTCAGCTCTCCTAGCCAGCTCGTGAGCTTGGACTTGCGGTCCCCGTCATCTGGCCCTGGAGACCTAGGATGGGTGATGACTAGAGTTCGAATGCGACTAGGTAACAGTTGCGACGGACTTGATCCTTCGAGCCGCTGGAGGTCTTGACTGTCCACCAAAGCACATTCTGCGATCTGAATCCGCCGGAGCTGTATGGACTCTTTGGCTTCCAAGCGAGTCTTCGAAGTGTTGCAGAATCGTACAGGCTTTGTGTACGTAAGCTTTAGATCTTCAACTGAGCGTCCAAGAGCAAGGAATATCCTGACATAGTGAGATGTAAATGAGCCCAGATTTCCGAAGCTGTTGGTACTACGACGATCTGAGAGGGGTGGGGGGAACCGGGAATGTTGTCCGTCCGGTAAAGAAGATCCCAAAGTCAAGGCCTTAACGTTCGGCAAATATACCAGGAGCTTTGCCGTACCCAGGAACTCCCATGGAAGGGTATTGTTGGCAGCCTCGACTATGAGGGAAGTGATATTGAAAGCTCGGTGCGTCTTCGATGGCAACTCCACTGTCGCTTTACTACCTATGCATAGAGTACGGAGCGTAGGTAACGTAACGACCGCCCAGTCCAGATGACCATGAGAGAGGTAGATAGACGTAAGCTTCGAGAAGCAGAGTAGATCAACAAGCTTTTCCGAGTGAATCAGGAGCTTGTCGAGGACAGTTATCCAGTACTCAGATTTCATGGCCTGAAGATCTCTAAAGCACTGGACTAACTCGGTGCGACAGAGGTAGTCATCCAGAGCGGTAATGGTCAAAGAACGCAACTCGGTAAGACGTTCCAGGAGATCGCAAGCGAGTTTCTTCTCACTCACTTTGACTACATAGCTTCCGGGCTTGATCAATGGAGAGACCGGCGACACGCCGGAATACATTAGCTGTGGATACTTGACAGGTATCGAACGCGGCAGGAACCACAGATCCTGAACTTTGGTCGCCAAATGAGGCTTTTGTGTGATAGTCCAGAGAAACACGGCGAGATCAGACTTGGTGGGACTGTCGAACGTGGATTCCGGATCTTCCCCGGCTGGACGAAGGTCGACAACGCGGTAGAGGACATCCTGCGCAGCCTCTGTGTAGCGCTTTGAGGCGCGTGCCAAGGAACATAGACCCTTGTAGTCTACGCTCTCAGCCACTTGTATCATAATTTCGGTGGCGCATCTGTCAATGTGGCATTTGCCGGATGTCGGAATCGAGGGGTCTTGCATCGCGAGCACGCTGAGTGCGCTGGTAGGATCGGCTTTGGATGTTGAGATCGCTGATACTGCGGTATCTGAGGCGGGATTTGAGAGCGTCATGGCAGTCAAATGACCAGAAGAGACGATCCAGAGACTGGTGTTGGAAGTCGCTCGGTAGTAGTGAGTGGTGAGAGACGAGGCGCGCTAGTGGTAACAAACGCAAGAGCATAGCCCAGACAGGAAAGAACGCTTGGACGCGTTCTTCACCTCCACTACCGAACGAGAACGAGGAGTACGTATTGACGGATGCTTGAATGACAGACATAAACTTTGATTAAGGTGAGATGGGTATCATTTCTGTATACAGTATAAGTTGAGTTGAGTTGAGTTTTGTCAATGGGGGCAATTATTGCTTCACCACATTTCAGTGTCCGAAATCAGTCCGAGAGGGGAGGGTACGATCACGAGCTATAGCCGGTCGAGCTTATCTCTAACGCTTGTTCTTGTCTGCTTGAGTCTTAAGTTGATTGAGACGTCGCGACATGTCTTTAATCCGCTCCCTCCCCGCTTCTCCGTCTTTCTTCTGCTGCTGTAAAGCAGGGAAAAAGCACATGCCAAGCCATCGGACTGTACCAATACTCTCTTACGGTCTCTCGGTTGATGGCGCATCTTCTGTACGCATTGCGTGGGGAGTGATTGTTCTGCAGGCTGCGCAATTCGGGAAGAAGAGATTTTGAGGTGCGCTACCGCAAAAAAATGCGAGAAGGAAGGGAGGCAGCGGTGGAGGCATCGGCGGAGACTCAGACGGGCTTTTGGGTCGGGCAGTATTACGAGACGGAGCGGATGTGGGGCGTGATAGGGGAGCGGGAGTAGGCCGTAGAGGTGTGGCGGGTAGAGGACGGATGGATGGAAGAGGAGGCGGTCGTGGAGGGGGAGGCGTATATCGTGACATGCTGGGTTTTATCGTCCGAGTGGTAACTTTGAGTCTTCCCTTATGTGTTTAGCAGTTTACGGTACCAGAGGTGAAGTGCTCACTGTTAAAGTTGGTGAAGTATAAGGTAAGGAGTAGGATATGCCTCCTAGGAGCAGCTTTATATACGCATGAGCAATGTACAGCGAAGACCTCTGCTACTGAATGTAATTTTCCAAATTTTGCAGTCATTTCCTGGTTGCGCTGCCGCCTACGAATCGTTCGAGAATCGTGACATACTGACCATGGTACACAACCACCGAAGTTGCGATAAGACCCTTTGCAAACCTCAAGCACAGGAACCACCACGGAAAAGTCACATCATGAAAACTCTGTATAGATAATGCGTTAATTTCTTAGACATTAGAAACTACCAAATTATTAGGTATTATCCTCAACAATTACTTCTTCTCCCCTGTGCAGCCTCAGAACATGGCCTAGTATCCAAGCTGACCCCTAACAGCACCAGCAACAAACTGCGCAGTGTGCGAGTCAGTGAAGAAACCCTTGGGGTTAGCTACAATCTGCTTGACGTGGAAGCCATCAGCCTGGTCCTTCTGGGTAGTCGGGTTGATGACGCCAACAGTGAAGGGACCCTTGAGGCAGCCAACGGAAGTACGGCGCTCATCGGGGCCGGTAGGGTTGGGGAAGGCCTGTGAGATGTGCGTTAGTAATCGTCTCAAGTATGCAGCATGCAAGTGGAAAAGGCGGTAAACTTACAAGTCTGGGTGGTCCAGCTTTGCCCTTGACAGCCTCGTGGATGTGCGTCGCAGTGAGCGCAGGGGACTGGTAGTCTCCAGTTACACCGCTCAGGGTGATGTTGTAGCAGATGGTGTTCTCAGCGATGTTGATGCCGTATTTGAATAGGCCCTTAGCGCCGGGCTGACCGGGAGCAGGTGCGCCGGTGTTGGCGATGACCTGGTCGGGTGTGGCCTTGACGACGTATTCGGCGTCGAAGTAGAAGAGCTTCTCGTTCTTCTTCCAGCCGTTGTCCTTAGCGTTCCATTTGGCGTCCCAGTCCTTCTTGCAGTCGGTCTTGTAGTCGTGCTTGCCAGCTGTGGGAGCGGCGAAGGCAAGGGGAGCGGAGATGAGAGCGAGGAGGGCGGGGGTGGTGAAATGCATGTTGGATGTTGTGTGAGTAGCGGAAGCTGTAGAATGGTATGTGGATGTAGTGAGGAGGATATGAGATGCTGATGGGAAATAAATGAAGCTATCCTGTGCGGTCCTTTATACACATACGGCTCTCCACTTCACCATCAGAGCTCAACTTCATTTCCCTTCTGCCCTGGTCCGATGACATCGGTGGACGACGCACTGGAAGCATGGATCGGTGGTAAAGACTCTTGGAGATGGACACTGGTGTCTTGGTGGAATCTTCAACGTGGTTTCGCCAAGTCAACAGTATGATTTGAGATCATTTCCGCCATGGCCGAGCCCGTACATGCGATGTAAGGCGTGACCCGCGGTATGGGTAGTGGTCTTGGTATCTCCATTTTGCTGACAAGAATTTAGACGGAAGGAGTGAACCCCGATGCGAGCCTGCCGTCTGCATGAATCTGGCCAACGAGAGTCGAGCGCATTAGAAACCTAGCACATGTGCCCAATGAGCACAGCGCTTAAACGTGCCGTAGAAGACGCCGTCCACCGTCTTGGTAACGGAAGATCCCATACTTTTGCAAGGCGAGCTTGCATCCATCAAGCCCACGATCGCCCCCAAGATATCGCCTAGCTATCTTGGTGCGGGTAGAGTAAGATCCGTAGTCTTACCCCAGCTCCTGATCGGGCTTACTCTTTCACCAAGTCTTCCTTTTTGAGCCATGATCTACCTACCCGCGTGGCTGTGCTGACAGACAACCGACAGAAAGGGACTACGTGCCCAAGGCGCTAGCTCGCGTTGGCCTTAATGTCGACCAAACGTACTCGTAAGGCACTATCGTTTCCCCAGAGAATTGAAATAGACCTTCGGGTCTCGATTGATCTTGACGTTGGTGTCCGCAGCGGAGATGTTTAGTGAGCTTTCTTAGGGACTCTTGGCTGCAGCACCGTGGGAGGCCCTGGAAGGATGCCACTCTTCACTGAGTTGGTCGATGTGGTGAAGCAGCGTTGGTCATCATCACGATTTGCTATAGTGTCGTGTATGTTTGGTGAACTGTCAGAGTTTAGTTGGGATGTTCAGGAGGAAGAAGTTCCGGTGCTTCCCAAGCTGACAGAATGACATCACCAGTTGGCAGATGCCAAGACCCACCCGATAGCGGCCTGTTCTCCGCTTTCCTCACCCTTTCCGCGCACTACCGAGTTGTCAAGCCGGGCTCGGATCCCTAGCAGCACGACGGTTCAAACGCCCAGCCAACGTTGTTTATGGTTTCAAGTAATCACCTCCAAGCAATGAAGAAAAATGTCGGCGAGCAATTTTTTATGTGTCTATTCCTTGGTACTTTAGGTCCAGCTCGGGCTTAGGATGCTGGGTAACTGAGCCGAGTCATCCGCTACTCTACAAAACCTCCAAGTTCGCCTGACTAACGAACCATGTACCGTTGTTAGTATCGATAGTCAGATTCGTCTGCACCGTCTTTCCGCCCTTCAAACTCCCACTCTCCACCATACCACCAGCGACAGGCCTCTGCAGCCTGTTCTCTCCACTCTTGACTGTAAAGTTGGCGATAGGAATCTCCCAGCCATTGCGCGTAACAACAGTCGGCAGACCGAAGAAGTTGGCGGTCATCTCGTCGTGGGTGAAGTGCAGCTCAAAGTAGCCGCGGTAGTAAAGATCCTGCCACTGGAGCTCAGCGTTGGAGGACTGGATGATGGAAGAGTAGTTGTTGGCGGTTGCGAGCGTGATGTTCGCGCCGTAGGGGCAGGGGGATGTGACTGCTGAGCCGGCGAACTCGACACCGATGCTGCCGGCGCCGGTGCTGGAGTCGTAGTCCTTCTCGTCGAGCCAGATTAGGTCGCTGACCCAGGATGCGTGGCTATCACCTGCGAGGAAGATGTTGTTGTTGATGTTGTTGCTGTACAAGTGGTTAAGCGTACGGTTCTTGTTCGACTGGTAACCGTCCCATGCATCGTAGTTCAGCGGGTTGTCCTCTCCGTAGGCAGCGGATTGGTTGACGCGCGAGAAGACGATTTGGGATCCGACAATACGCCATGTTGTGCCACGCTCGGAAGACTCGGAAAGACTGCGGTAAAACCAGTTCTCTTGACGGGAGCCCATCAGAGAGCGGCCGGCATCGTTGGAGATGTCGTGAACGTAGTCGGTGTTCCAGTAGAGATCGGTGATGGAGCGATCGTATTGACGGGTGTCGAGCATCATCAAGTCAACGAGCTTTCCGATGGAGAACGAACGCCAAATGCGCAGATTGTCGTCCATGTCGACTTGACGAATGGGCATCCATTCGAAGTAGGCACGAACAGCGTTCATCTTGCGCTGGTCGACTGAGACACCACCGTCGCGGAGGAATGAGTCTTCAGTGTTATTGAGCTCAGACATGCCGTCACGGTAGGTGTTGTCAGCAACCTCGTGATCGTCCCAAACAGGAATCCATGGGAATTGCTCATGACTAGCAACGAGATCAAGGTCGGTACGGTAAGTCGCGAGCCTCTTTCGGTAGTCGTAAAGAGTAAAGATCTCACGGTCTGGCTGAGGAATGCGGCCAAGCGAGTTGCCCCAGCCGTAATCTCCATTCTTGTATTCGTAGATGTAGTCACCGAGATGAACGACGTAATCAACAGAGTCCTGATTCGACGATTAGCTCAGTAGAAAATATGACCAGTCTTCAGCACGCACCTTGCGAACGGTATTTCCATAAGCATTGAAGAAACCAAATGGGTAGTTTGCACAGCTGTACACGGCAATGCTAACATCGGTGATATCGTCGTCCGCATTTGGCGTGGTCTTTGTACGTCCAAGAGGACTCTTGTTCTCCGAACCGCACACATTGAACTGGTAGTAGTAGTTGGTGTATGGCTTCAAGTTCTTGGCCTCGACTTTGACGGTAAA